TGCTCTACCATCGAAAATGCCTGAGACAATAGATAAAAACGAGCTTGTAAACAATATCATAAATAGTAACCGATACACCTCAATAGTAAAAAACACCTTAGTTCCCCCACAACAAAATTTCCATCATTTCTCATTACCATCTTATACTCATGACACTTCAGAACATAAATTCCAATACCCAGTGAAGGAGGATATAAAGTTTGCTGATATTTGTGCTCAACTTTTTCGCTTAATAACACCATTCATTGATTCGGATGAAGTGTTATGTGAGTCCTTTCAGGATTTAAAAGAAAAATTTATAAGAACAGGCAAATCTAGTAGAATGTTTTTGGAGAAAAGTTTGAATCAGAGCCAGACTTTAAAAACACAATAAACATGTCAGTTAAAATATTTCAATACAACATTCAATCGCTCAAAGCAAATAAAAATGACCTAGAGTTTCTCCTTAATAATGAAGATTTTGATTTTGCGTGTCTTTCTGAGATCTTCTTCCATGGAGATGATCCTACTTTTAGAAACATTTTAAATTTTAAAGCTGCTGAAAAACTTAGAGCTGACAATTATGGAGGTACTTCGGTACTAGTAAAAAATAAAATTCTTTTCAAAAAAATTCCTTTCATTGCTACATCTGACATATCAATTATACAAACAACCAATTTATCCCGAAATCTCACAATAGCTTCAGCCTATTGCGAGCCAAATGTACCTCTAGATGATTTTAAAACAGACATTAAAAGACTTTTTGATAGCATGGAAAATCTTCAAGATGTATTCATATGTGGAGATTTTAATGCTCGTAATAGTGTATTCGGTGTTAGTATGACCAATTCCGAAGGTCGTTTCATAGAAGATGTTTCCTTAAATGCTGGTTTCAAGTGGTTGAATGATGGGAGCTTAACCTTTAAACAGTCTCTAAATCTAATGTCGGGTTCAGTTTTGGATTTGACTTTTACCAACTCTGATTTGCTTTTTGACTGGCATATCCGTCCGCTAAGGATTGGTGGCAGCCATCATTTTCCTATATCAATTACAATCCAGAATATCAAAATAAAACCAAAGTTCTTTCTGTCTAAAGTAAAGTTACTTTCAAAACTGAACAACATTAGAGAGTTTCAGAACATTAATGATATAACAAACAAGGTGAAAAATGAAATTAGGTCATGCACTCACATATTAGAGAAAAGGTCTCCAAAGTTCTGGTGGACTGACGAACTTACACTTTTAAATAGAATTTTTAAGTCTACGCAAGCTAAAGCTATCAAATATCCAAATGCAGAGAACTTTGAAGCGGCCAGCCAAGCTCGACTAAAATGGAAAAATGCTGTGAAAAAAGCAAAGAGAAACTCTTATCAGGATAAAATTGAAGAGATTAATCAGAGTCCTTCGTCTAGGAAATCTTGGCAATTTTTGAGGAATCTTAAAGGTCTAGGGAAACCTCAGATGCAAGAGTGGTCTCCATCCAATAACAGGGAATATCTAGACTTTCTGAGCAGTCAAATTCCACAAACAGAGTTAACTGCAACTGTTCCTAATAACATGGCTAACTCGCAGAGTACAGAAACATTTTCTATGAAGGAATTAAGTGAGGTTATTAGAAATAAAAGATCAACGGCTGGTGGCATTGATGGGATCACATATGAAATGCTAGCATCTCTTTCGGAAGAGGTAATACAAAAACTATTGTCTTGTTTTAATGAGTTATATGATAGCTGCCAATTTCCAAATGCGTGGCGAAGCATTAAGATTTGTCCAATTCCAAAATGTGGTAAACCACTAGATGACATCAAAAACTTCAGACCAATATCGCTAATCTCAGTTCTTGCGAAATCTGTAAACGGCATGGTTAAAAATAGATTGTCTGAGTTTGTGGAAAAGAACAAGTTACTGCCCTTTAGGTGTTATGCTTATAGGAAAAAGAAAAGTGCTTCCATGTGTATTAACGATCTTTTGTCAACCATTCATTGCCTCAAACGGCAAAATAAGAAAATAGTAGTTGCTTGCCTTGACATAGAAAATGCGTATAACTGTGTAAATTTGGCATTTTTTTAAAAAATCATGTTGTGGATAAAAGTTCCTAACCAAATTATACTATGGATTCTAAATTTCTTGTCAGTAAGGTTTTTACACTTAGGTTCGGAGACTGAGAAGGTTACAAATGGTCTGCTACAGGGAAGCTGTCTGTCGCCAGTTCTTTTTAATCTGTATACCTTTCGGTTACATCAAATTGAGGACAACGACACCAAGATTTTTCAATTTGCTGATGATTTCATAATCTTGTCAGCCAAACCCACTTTTTGTGAGGCTGCAACAAATTTACAAGGCAAGATCGAAAGTTTTCAGCTCCTTTGTGAGGATCTGGGACTCAACCTGAATCCAACTAAGTGTTCGGTTATGGCTATGACACCATTCAAAAAAACGAAAGTAAATATCGTTATGAATCTGCAAAGTATTCCTGAAGTCAGGGAAATAAAGTTTCTGGGTAGAATAATCACATCGAGTTTGTCTGACAAGAAACATGTAGAAAAAATAAGGAAAGAATCTGGGGTTGGCATGAAACTGTTGCAAATGGCCACCAATATTAAGAGTGGCCTAAGACCTCAAGTTGCCACAAAATATATACAAAGCACACATTAGATCAAAAGCTGAATATGCGTCGACCACCATGGCAAACCTAAATAAAGGTAACTTTGGGAAACTTTTTTCGAGACAAGCCGCTGCGCTTCGTCGATGTTAGGGGTAACACCAGATACTCCAAAGCATGTGATTTTTGCGTTGGCGGGTGAAATGCCCCCAAACTTCAGAGCAATGTTTTTAACTGCCAAAGAGCTTTTGAGATTAAAGACTCAAAACTACGATCTTTACAATAGTTACACCTGCTTTCAATCAGTAAATTCGTCTTACAAGATAGTGGCAAACAAGTTTAGGGATATTTTTGAAATGACCAAACCAGCAGTGACTTTCACTGCAAATAAAAGCTGCATCTACATAGTAAACCTTTTAATATAAACAAACTAAATGTACCTAAAGAACAAATTCTTGTTATATATTATGAAATTCTCCACAATCTCAAGGAAACAAAGTACCATATCTTTGCAAGTGATGCCTCAATATGTGATAGTAAAGTGGGTATGGGTATTATCGATGTAAACGGAAAAAAGACTTATAGATTTAAATCAGAGATAAAAATTTCGTCTGCTATGGCTGAATTATTTACAATTAACATGACCTGTCTCATTGCCAAGCGATTAAGACTAACTAAGGTAGCTATATTTACGGATAGTTTAGCAGCTATATATATGTTAAAAAATGCAGAATCAGATGCCTATCCAGTGGCAAATATTCACAACTTACTGGTATGGCCAGAATTAATCTCTGTAGACATCTACTGGATGCCAGGTCATATGGGTATCCCAATAAACGAACAAGCGGATGAAGCTGCAAAATCTGCCATCTCAAATGGGGTGTTTGTTAGGCTGAACTATACGTTAGGTGAAGCATGTCGAGAGGTCAAGAAAAGAGTTTTCGCCTTATGGAATGACTACTACAAGGAGGCTTCCTCATTGTCTGGTGGTTTTTTCTTTGATTTATTTCCAAATGTTCCAGGGGAACCCTGGCACAAGAAGGTTAAATGGAACGCTCAGGATATGAGACTCCTGAATCGACTCATGATAAATCATACGTATGACAACGTTTTTTTGAAAAAATGCAAAATAGTTAGTTGTGACCTATGTCCAACATGTAACGTAACTGAATCTGCAAATCACCTGATTTTCAACTGTACAAGACTCATGCCCCTAAGGCGTAAATTTAAAATATTTAAGTATTACAACTCTACGCACGAATTGTTTAAAGCAAATATCCTTCTACATATGAGGGAACTCGCGAAATTTGTAAGAGAAGCTAAATTAGACTTTTAATCTCGCGTCGTTTAAACACATCGAATGTAATTGTGTATATAACATATCAACTTAGTTTCTTGGCTTGGAAGTTTTCTTTTGGCCAATTACTCTCTTTGAGAAAAATACAAATTCAAATTCGATCACGTTGCCAATTACTCATCTCTATGAATACTAGAAAGTTGCAGTATAATCGATAGTGTCTCGCACATATCGATACATCGTTTCTGGTCGCTGCTACAACAGACCAACCACTAACGCCAATAGGCGTTGAAATCACAAAAAAAAAAAAAAAAAAAATAATAAATTTTTGTTAGTTTCTAAGGGGACCTGGGTTTGACTTTTGAATACAAAAGCAAATGTGATCAAATATAATTCTTCAACAGCGCGTTTCCTTCTATTTAGCGATCAGTGTGGCCAGCCCATGCAAATACTTACATACCTATATACTTATATATACTGAAAAAAACGCCATGGAACTTAAATTTCTCGTTACATTTTCTTTTGTTGTTATTCTGCATTACAATTTCCACTTGAATTAAAATTCTTGTGTACATAAAACCACAAATGTTTGGAACAAATATGTCTTATCGCGTGAACGCTTTGTTCCTTTGGGTTCCTTGGGCTTCTAGCACTGACTTTGGAGCTGTACGCTAGTTTTTATATTTTTGTATTTTTAGTATTAGCGTAAAACAAAATTTCTATCGTTTTACAAATTTTAAGTATCTAACTATTGTTTCAACAAAAAATGGGCACTCGCAAGAAGCTTACAGGCATTTCCATCCACGTTCGGACGAAGTCACGCAACTGGTGTGTGAATTGCTATTTTAATGCCATCGAGCCGCACTCAGTACTTCGACAAGACTGTACACAGACAGGTGAGAGAAGCGAATTGAGCGAATTCCGACTGTATATCCTTGGCTACATCTGTGTGCTGTATGCTGCATTCCAGAAAACCCCGCGCCTCACATGCGTCAGATGTTCCACGATATTTTCTCACCCTTGAAATGATGTGGCCAGTTTTTTCATCTTGCGTCTTATGCCTCACTCTCACACCTGCCTTGTTCAAGTTCGTGTTGAAGTTGTGGTGGTGGCGCGGGCACGTCTGTATTGGCATAGCAAGGAGCAGCAGGAGGAGTTCAGTAGGAAGCAGGATAATAATCAACAACTTGCGGATCAGACGTGAGCTGATGATAGAACTGCTGAAGAAACAAGAAGAAAGTTTTGAATTGGAGCTACAGCCAAGTGTTGGCTTCATCCCGGGCATGGTACTACGCTCGGGAAACAAGTTGGGGACAGGAAAGTGGTGGTCGTCCACAGTGGTGCCTTCGAGCAAGAGGAGAAATCAATTAGTGATTCCCCCCCACACCACACACTTGGCAATTAGGTTACTCACTCTGCTCGTGGCTCGCAATTCAATATCGCAATAGACGTGTGAATTTTAGTGTTTCCATTCTATATGAATGAATATAAAATAAAACTTTTACAAAAAATTTTTTAATTTAGAATGTCGAATTTTTTGACGAATGTGATATTTTTTGTTTTTAGTTGTTACTTGTTTGCTCTCTATAGCAATAATAAATTTTTATTTGTTTCTAAGAGGACCTGGGTTTGACTTTTGAATACAAAGGCAAATGTGATCAAATATAATTCTTTAATTTATGTGAAGAAGCCAAGAAGCCAGAATTTGTGTGTTGTATTCCAAACATCCAGACTAGGCAATATTGTCAGTTTACCCAAAAACCTAAAATAAATATTAAAACGAGAAGGAACGTGTGAGTCGCTTCTGGGGACGCGACTCTACTTATACCCGTACTCAGTCAGTATATACATTTTTGAGCATGATTTTTTGAATTTTAGAAAAAAAAAAAATTTACATTTTACATTTTTTTGCTACATCTGCTATCTACATCTACATATACTATGTATATTCTACATCTAACATGTAGATTGTACATGTTCCATTTCGATTCTACATCTCCTCCGCTAGGGGTTGCTCGCGCACTGAACGCGGCAGAGTGTGCGAGCGTGAAGGAAAATGAATTGAGTTGTCGTTGGCTGGATGGGGCAGGGGAAGCAACTGAAAATTAATTTCTTCATTCTGGCTATAATTATGATCCGATCTGATTCAGATTCGGCAATCTGGTAGATATGGTCATTCTCTACGATACTGCGTTTTTGGTTTTATCTTATCTTTAAAACTGTGCCTGCCACAGATTTTCGTCCTTTGTGTGGGCGGAAGGGGGCGGGGCGAAATTTTGAAATACACTTGTAGCAGTGTGATATCACATGAGTCTGGAAACAAAATTTGGTTCCTCTAGCTTTTATAGTCTCTGAGATCCAGGCGTCAAACAAGACGGACAGACGGACAGACAGACATGGCTCTATCGACTCGGCTATTGATGCTGATCAAGAATATATATACTTTATGGGGTCGGAAAATTTTCCTTCTCTGCGTTACACACATCCACTTTTACCACAAATCTAATATACCCCTTAACTCTTTTTTGAGTACGGGTATAACAAATTCGTTAAATTTAAAATGTCTAACCCCAACCCTAACCCTAACCCACCCGATGCTACCTCGCGCCCATCGCTGCTACTCTATATAGTTGGCTTTTTTGCAAAGCCAGCCTCATCATTGTAAGTAAATTAGTGGGGTAGGGAATCGGAAATGAAATGAACTACACCCTCTGCCTACTCGTAGGTGGCTCCATGGAGCAACTGCTTAAACAGATTGAAAAGGATGTCTTGAGCAATTTTTTGTTTATTGTATTTTCCATCCTAGCGCGACAAAAACTTTAAAAGCTCGGGAAAAGTCGAAAAAAAAAATAATTCTTGGCAAAATGTCAGCCCTTTCCGAGGTCTCACACCAAAGACAATACTCGTATTCAAATGCATTAAACTCTGGCAAGTACAGATGAAATCCTTTATTAAACAATACTCAGAAGATCAGAAAGCAAAAAGGTGTGACAGGTATTTATGGCAAATGCCAAAGAGTGGCAAAAAGTGGCAAAAAAAAAGTCTCCCTTAACCATTTCTGGCTACATATTCCTTTATTTTGGTAACATATTTCATAAACTAAATGCAAACATTCAAATTTTTGTGTGACTTATTTTTCTAGAAATTTCCATAAATCATCAGCAGATAGATCGTTCAACAATGCAACTCTCATATTTACAGACAGTTGAAGTTTCTTTACATTTCGCCACAGATTTGATGCTTTGAGGCAAGCGTTTATTTCGTCGGCAGCAGTAGATCTTGGAATGACTGGTAGTGTTTGTCGGAAATCGCCAAATAATAAAATCATTGCACCACCAAAACATCTCGAGTCATTGCGCTGTTCTCTTGCACAGAGTTTGATGCTTGCACAGGATATTTAGAGATAATTCAATCTTTCCAATTATTTGATATTTCCACGAAATAGCTGACACGGCAAACTTCGTACCGCCTAATAGTCAATGAATGTCGTGTTACTTTTTAGCTGAACTAATTTAGGCTTTATTTTCATTCAAGCACTTTGTGGAACGATATTCTTTGTTTTTTGGTCAGGCGCAAGAACAAATAAAGCGGATGGTTTGCCGACACGTGAGCATGCCACGTACAATTGACCATGAGAAAAACATTCATTTTCTAGATTGAGGCCGCAAATAGTCAAGGATTGGCCCTGTGATTTGTTGATCGTCATGGCGAAGGCAAGACGAATCGGGAATTGAATTCGTTTAAACTCAAAGGGCATATCCGTTGGGATCATCGGAATCCTTGGAATAAGAACTTCCTCATCCTTAAATTTTCCTTTAAGTATCATCAGTTTTCTTATCACCAAACGCGATCCATTACACAGTTTTGGTTGGTTTAAATTTCTAAGCATGATGATTACCGAGCCAACTTTAAGTTTTAAATTGTGCGGTGGTAAACCAGGCACATCCAAGGAGTTTAAAAATTCAGTTGGATAATTAGTGGCTTCTTCTTCGTTTGTTACACAGTCGATAGATTTGAATGAATACAGAGTACCTGCGATTTGATTTTACAATATTGAGGTCATCTACATCTTTATTTTTAGCGGCCAAAATTGCTCGCTCACTTAACCATTTAGTATTTTTGTGGTTAGCAATGATATCCGGGAATACTTTGTTGATAAGCTCGTCTTTTGATGATACGAAATTGCAAAAATTTGGAGGAAATGAAATCAAACCGCTCGATTTGTCAACAGGAACACGGCCATTACCGATAGTCAGCAATTGCTTCGAGAAATCATCAGCAGATAGATCGTTCAACAATGCAACTCTCATATTTACAGACAGTTGAAGTTTCTTTACATATCGCCACAGATTTGATGCTTTGAGGCAAGCGGTTATTTCGTCGGCAGCGGTAGATCTTGGAATGACTGGTAGTGTTTGTCGGAAATCGCCAGATAATAAAATCATTGCACCTCCAAAACATCTCGAGTCATTTCGCAGATCTTTTAATGATCGGTCTAGTGCTTCCAATGCGCGTTTGTGCGCCATTGTGCATTCGTCCCATATGATGATTTTTTATGCTACTAAAACTTTGGCCATTGCGGAGTGTTTCGAAATGTTACATGTCGGTTGTTCAGTAGTTTGAAGGTTTAATGGCAATTTTAACGCTGAGTGAGCCGTACGGCATCCGTCTAAATGTGGCCGCTATTCCAGAAGAAGCAATTGCTACCGCAATTTCGGATCTAGCACGTACAGTGGCCAAAATCAATGACATGAGGAATGTCTTCCCAGTTCCACGGGGGCATCCAAAAAAAATAAGCCGCCATTTCCATCATCAATTGCATTAATCAGTGTATCATAGACTTCCCTTCGCTGTGGAAGGATAGAAGGGGTACATTCGTTTGAACTGATTGGATTAGTTCATGTGGATCATATTCACGTTCACGTTCCCTTTCAAAATTTCGCCCCGCCCCCTTCCGCTCACACAAAGGACGAAAATCTGTGGCAGGCACAGTTTTAAAGATACGATAAAACTAAAAACGCAGTATCGTAGAGAATGCCCATATCTACCAGATTGCCGAATCTGAATCAGATCGGATCATAATTATAGCCGGAATGAAGAAATTAATTTTCAGTTGCTTCCCCTCCCCCTCCCGCTAACGACAACGCAATTCATTTTCCTTCTCGCTCGCACACTCTGCCGCGTTCAGTGCGCGAGCAAAGGGGAGGAGATATAAATCTAAAGTACTTGTGAAAACTACATGTCAGATGTAGAATAGACATTGTAGATGAGATGTAGATAACAAATGTAGCAAAAAAATGTAAAATGTAAAATTTTTTTTTTAATTCTAAAATTCTAAAAAATCATGCTCAAAAATGTATATACTGACTGAGTACGGGTATAAGTAGAGTCGCGTCCCCAGAAGCGACTCACACGTTCCTTCTCGTTTTACTTACATACCTATATACTTATATATACTGAAAAAAACGCCATGGAACCTAAATTTCGCGTTACATTTTCTTTTGTTGTCATTCTGCATTACAATTTCCACTTGAATCAAAATTCGAACGTGTACATAAAACAACAAATGTTTGGAACAAATATGTCTTATCGCGTGAATGCTTTGTTCCTTTGGGTTCCTTGGGCTTCACCTCCTGGTGTGGAAATTGCTATTTTAATGCAATCGAGAAATACAGACACTCTCAGTATTTCGACGTGGAGCTGTACACAGACAGGTGAGAGAAGCGAACTGAGCGAATTCCGACTGTATATCATTGGCTACATCTGTGTGCTGTATGCTGCATTCCAGAAAACCCCGCGCCTCACATGCAAGCAATCGGGTAGCGAAAACCCCTCGTCAGATGTTCCACGATATTTTCTCACCCTTGAAATGATGTGGCCAGTTTTTTCATCTTGCGTCTTATGCCTCACTCTCACACCTGCCTTGTTCAAGTTCGTGTTGAAGTTGTCGTGGTGGCGCGGGCACGTCTGTATTGGCATAGCAAGGAGCAGCAGGAGGAGTTCAGTAGGAAGCAGGATAATAATCAACAACTTGCGGATCAGACGTGAGCTGATGATAGAACTGCTGAAGAAACAAGAAGAAAGTTTTGAATTGGAGCTACAGCCAAGTCTTGGCTTCATCCCGGGCATGGTACTACGCTCGGGAAACAAGTTGGGGACATGAAAGTGGTGGTCGTCCACAGTGGTGCCTTCGAGCAAGAGGAGAAATCAATTAGTGATTCCCCCCCACACCACACACTTGGCAATTAGGTTACTCACTCTGCTCGTGGCTCGCAATTCAATATCGCAATAGACGTGTGAATTTTAGTGTTTCCATTCTATATGAATGAATATAAAATAAAACTTTTACAAAAACTTTTACAAAAATTTTTTAAATTTAGATTTCGAATTTTTTGACGAATGTGATATTTTTTTTTTTTAGTTGTTACTTGTTTGCTCTCTATAGCAATAATAAATTTTTATTTGTTTCTAAGGGGACCTGGGTTTGACTTTTGAATACAAAGGCAAATGTGATCAAATATAATTCTTTAATTTATGTGAAGAAGCCAAGAAGCCAGAATTTGTGTGTTGTATTCCCGACATCCAGACTAGGCAATATTGTCAGTTTACCCAAAAACCTAAAATAAATATTAAAACAAATTCGTTAAATTTAAAATGTCTAACCCCAAACCTAACCCTAACCCACCCGATGCTACCTCGCGCCCATCGCTGCTACTCTATATAGTTGGCTTTTTTGCAAAGCCAGCCTCATCATTGTAAGTAAATTAGTGGGGTAGGGAATCGGAAATGAAATGAACTACACCCTCTGCCTACTCGTGGCATAGCAAGGAGCAGCAGGAGGAGTTCAGAATAATAATCAACAACTTGCGGATCAGACGTGAGCTGATGATAGACCTGCTGAAGAAACAAGAAGAAAGTTCTGAATTGGAGCTACAGCCAAGTGTTGGCTTCATCCCGGGCATGGTACTACGCTCTGGAAAGAAGTTAGGGACAGGAAAGTGGTGGACGTCCACAGTGGTGGCTTCGAGCAGGAGGAGAAATCAATTAGTGAGTCCCCCCCCCACACCACACACTTGGCCATTAGGTTACTTACTCTGCTCGTGGCTCGCAATTCAATATCGCAATAGACGTGAGAATTTTGGTGTTTCCATTCTATATGAATGGATATAAAATAAAACTTTTACAAAAATTTTTTAAATTTAGAATTTCCAATTTTTTGACGAGTGTGATATTTTTTGTTTTTAGTTGTTACTTGTTTGCTCTCTATAGCAATAATAAATTTTTGTTAGTTTCTAAGGGGACCTGGGTTTGACTTTTGAATACAAAAGCAAATGTGATCAAATATAATTCTTCAACAGCGCGTTTCCTTCTATTTAGCGATCAGTGTGGCCAGCCCATGCAAATACTTACATACCTATATACTTATATATACTGAAAAAAACGCCATGGAACTTAAATTTCTCGTTACATTTTCTTTTGTTGTCATTCTGCATTACAATTTCCACTTGAATTAAAATTCATGTGTACATAAAACCACAAATGTTTGGAACAAATATGTCTTATCGCGTGAACGCTTTGTTCCTTTGGGTTCCTTGGGCTTCTAGCACTGACTTTGGAGCTGTACGCTAGTTTTTATATTTTTGTATTTTTAGTATTAGCGTAAAACAAAATTTCTATCGTTTTACAAATTTTAAGTATCTAACTATTGTTTCAACAAAAAATGGGCACTCGCAAGAAGCTTGCCAATTGTAATTTCCATCCACGTTCGGACGAAGTCACGCAACTGGTGTGTGAATTGCTATTTTAATGCCATCGAGAAATACAGACGCACTCAGTACTTCGACGTGGAGCTGTACACAGACAGGTGAGAGAAGCGAATTGAGCGAATTTCGACTGTATATCCTTGGCTACATCTGTGTGCTGTATGCTGCATTCCAGAAAACCCCGAGCCTCACATGCAAGCAATCGGGTAGCGAAAACCCCGAGTCAGATGTTCCACGATATTTTCTCACCTTTGAAATGATGTGGCCAGTTTTTGCATCTTGCGTCTTATGCCTCAATCTCACACCTGCCTTGTTCAAGTTCGTGTTGAAGTTGTCGTGGTGGCGCGGGCACGTCTGTATTGGCATAGCAAGGAGCAGCAGGAGGAGTTCAGTAGGAAGCAGAATAATAATCAACTTGCGGATCAGACGTGAGCTGATGATAGACCTGCTGAAGAAACAAGAAGAAAGTTCTGAATTGGAGCTACAGCCAAGTGTTGGCTTCATCCCGGGCATGGTACTACGCTCTGGAAAGAAGTAAGGGACAGGAAAGTGGTGAACGTCCACAGTGGTGCCTTCGAGCAGGAGGAGAAATCAATTAGTGAGTCCCCCCCCACACCACACACTTGGCCATTAGGTTACTTACTCTGCTCGTGGCTCGGAATTCAATATCGCAATAGACGTATGAATTTTAGTGTTTCCATTCTATATGAATGGATATAAAATAAAACTTTTACAAACATTTTTTAAATTTAGAATTTGAATTTTTTGACGAGTGTGATATTTTTTGTTTTTAGTTGTTACTTGTTTGCTCTCTATAGCAATAATAAATTTTTGTTTGTTTCTAAGGGGACCTGGGTTTGACTTTTGAATACAAAAGCAAATGTGATCACATATAATTCTTCAATTTATGTGACTCCCAAGAAGCCAGAATATGTGTGTTGTATTCCAGACATCCAGACTAGGCAATATTGTCAGTTTACCCAAAAACCTAAAATAAATATTAAAACAAATTCTTTAAATTTAAAATGTCTAACCCCAACCCTAACCCTAACCCACCCGATGCTACCTCGCGCCCATCGCTGCTACTCTATATAGTTGGCTTTTTTGCAAAGCCAGCCTCATCATTGTAAGTAAATTAGTGGGGTAGGGAATCAGAAATGAAATGAACTACACCCTCTGCCTACTCGTGGCATAGCAAGGAGCAGCAGGAGGAGTTCAGAATAATAATCAACAACTTGCGGATCAGACGTGAGCTGATGATAGACCTGCTGAAGAAACAAGAAGAAAGTTCTGAATTGGAGCTACAGCCAAGTGTTGGCTTCATCCCGGGCATGGTACTACGCTCTGGAAAGAAGTTAGGGACAGGAAAGTGGTGGACGTCCACAGTGGTGGCTTCGAGCAGGAGGAGAAATCAATTAGTGGCAGCTAAGCGTATCCTTCGATATCTAGCCAAAACTATCGACTGGGAAATATGCTACACAAAACAAGGCAAGGCAATTGAGTGTTTTGTCGATGCAGATTGGGCAAGTGATATGACAAACCGCAAGTCATTCACTGGCTATGTACGCACCTTGGCAGGAGGAGCGATTTCTTGGGAGTCAAGAAAGCAATCGACAGTCGCGCTTAGTTCCACGGAGGCTGAGTACATCGCCTTATCATCTGCAGCAAAGGAGGCGATATACTTTCAAAACCTACTCATCGACTTGAAGCTGATGTCCAAAGAGTCAGCTATTCAGATGTACGGTGACAACATAGGAGCACAGCAGCTGGCTCGAAACCCTATGTTTCATGCACGTACAAAACACATCGACGTCAAGGTTCATCATGTTCGAGAGGTTCTTAAGAGAGGTGAAGTCGACATTGCGTATCTACCAACCGATGAACTGATAGCAGATGTCCTTACAAAGAACTTAGCCAAAGTTAAACATCATAAATTTGTATTCGCCTTTGGCTTAAAAGAAAGTTTATAATTTGCCTTGACATGTATTCGAATGCTAGTTTAAGTAGCATTAAGTATGTTTAAATTTTGTAAGCATGCGTTGTGTTGAGGAGGAGTGTTCAAAGTGACCGCCACGATATATAAGTTATCGATCTCAAAGCAACACTGCGCATGTACACTGATGCTTCGAGGATCTTTCGATACGAGATTTTTATGTGTCGTGTGCCTATATATTTCTCGTGAGCACGTCTCCTTACATTTTTCTGTACACATTATTATCCTACTCAATAAATAACTGAAACAGGTTATGGGTCCAGGCACCCAGATAACTAAAACAGTGAGAAACAAAAAACATTGTTTGTGCTTAGTGAAAAGCAGTGTCGAAAAAAAAACGAGAAGGAACGTGTGAGTCGTTTCTGGGGACTCGACTCTACTTATACCCGTACTCAGATAGTATATACATTTTTGAGCATGATTTTTTAGAATTTTAGAATTAAAAAAAAAATTTTACATTTTACATTTTTTTGCTACATTTGTTATCTACATCTCATCTACAATGTCTATTCTACATCTAACATGTAGATTGTACATGTACCATTTAGATTCTACATCTCCTCCGCTAGGGGTTGCTCGCGCACTGAACGCGGCAGAGTGTGCGAGCGAGAAGGAAAATGAGTTGTGGTATCTGGAACGGGAGGGGGAGGGGAAGCAACTGAAAATGAATTTCTTCATTCTGGCTATAATTATGATCCGATCTAATTCAGATTCGGCAATCTGGTAGATATGGGCATTCTCTACGATACTGCGTTTTTAGTTTTATCGTATCTTTAAAACTGTGCCTGCCACAGATTTTCGTCCTTTGTGTGGGCGGAAGGGGACGGGACGAAATTTTGAAATACACTTGTAGCAGTGTGATATCACATGAGTCTGGAAACCAAATTTGGTTGCCCTAGCTCTTATAGTCTCTGAGATCCAGGCGTCAAACAAGACGGACAGACGGACAGACAGACATGGCTCTATCGACTCGGCTATTGATGCTGATCAAGAATATATATACTTTATGGGGTCGGAAACGTTTCCTTCTCTGCGTTACACACATCCACTTTTACCACAAATCTAATATACCCCTTAACTCTTTTTTGAGTACGGGTATAAAAACGACTTAGACTCATTGGTGTGTGCGTGTGTGTACGGTAGAGAAAAGTGGAACAAAAATTTAAACAGACGTTCGCAGCTTGTTTTTTGATCAGAATTCTGCAGCGAGCCGGACCGTTGCCGTGGTTAAAAGTCCAAAATAAAGAAGTCCCAACAGATCAAGAAACACAAAAGCGAACGGAGACTCAAGTGTGTATACCAAGGCACAGAAAATCGTGCGTGTGTGTAGCTAACAAAATTCAACCGAGCAAAGGAGAAAAGGAAACTGAAAAAAAAGAAAAGAAAGAGACAAAAGTATTTTCATCGTAGTTGCTTTGTGCATGAAACAAGCGACAGATTTATACATATGTACGTAAGCATTTGCACAGTCGGACAAAAACAATAAAAAATGAGTGGAAATATGAATTTCAATATTGAGAAACTGGACGAAAACAATTATAGCACATGGGAAGTTTTGATGAGAAGTGTTCTCATACAAAATGATTTGTGGTCAGTAGTAAGTGGTAAAATAGAGCTGAGTGAAAATGCAACTAATGAGCAACGCGCAGCTTTTGAGCTGAAAGATCAAAAGGCGTTGGCGTCAATATTACTTTGTGTTAAATCGACCCAACTGAACAATGTTAAAAATTGTGTATCATCTTCGCAGGCCTGGCAAAAGTTAAATGCAATTCACAGACCAAGCGGACCAGCAAGATGTGTGCTGCTAATCAAACAGTTGTTGTCGCTGAAAATGTCGGAAGACATGAATGCACAGGAATATTTGCACAAATTCCAGGTGGTACATGAGGCTTTAGCAGAGTTTTGTTGTTGCGATTGAGACGCGGGATGATTTACCGAGCTTAAGTGTGCTAAAAATTAAAATTTCTGAAGAAGCGAATAGGCAGGAAGATATCGTTTACAAGGAAATAACAAGCAGCGCAGAACTACATGTTAGCCATGACAACAAAAACTTTAAGAAAAGCTTTAAGAAAGGCAAGAAGTGTTTTAATTGCGGAAAAGAAGGGCATTTTAAAACAGATTGTCGTGTCAAAAGAAAGCAGGAAGAAGTAAACAATAAGGGCGTAAGCTACAAAAGTGGGGAAAAATGGGGTACATTGCTTTGTGTAACCAAAGATACCAAAGTGGAACCTGAAAAATATGTACCAATTTTAAATGTTGCTAAGTCTGATGACCGGATGGTAAATGCATGGTGCATAGACAGTGGCGCAACGGCGCATTTATGTTGCGACAAGGATCGCTTTGTGTCGTTCACGGAAGATAATCAAAAAGTATTTTTAGCCGGCGGGAAATCACTTATTCCTGAAGGGCATGGAACTGTAAAAGTAAAGTTCGGTGATAGAGCGGTTACAATGGATAATGTTATCTTGGTACCAGATTTACAGTACAATTTTATATCAGTCGCAAAAGCATTAAGCAATGGCAAACAAGTTTTGTTTGAGACATTTAGAAAATGGATTGTTTATGGTTAATGACAATCAGGAAAAGTGCATGAACATTGTAAATGTTGAGACAGATACATTTAAATGGCACAACAGGTTCGGTCATGTATATTTTGACGCACTAAAGGAAATGGCTAGTAAGGAGATGGTAATAGGTCTCAAGGGCAGTTGGCAATTATCGGCGGGAGCTTAAACAACCGCTAACCCTGCAGCTTTTGGGTATAAACTCTCAACATTAACGAGCAGCTCTCAAGAGAGACGTATGAAATCTTTAAAGAGGCAATGC